CACCTACCTCCCAGAACTATTGTCATGTGATACCATGACATGCAAGGGAACTGGATTTAAATGAGGGAGGACTATGCAAAGTTACCAGTCTCACTTTCACCTCTGGAGCCATCTGAGTCCAGTGGCAAGATACAGATCAGGAAGACTGGAGGTGGCCCTGTGAGGATCAAATGAAATATTTGTGAAGCACTTAACATAGTGCACTTAATAAATGCTTATTTCTTTCCTCTTTCCTTCCTTCCTCATTCCTTCCTTCTCTCCTTTCTTCCTTCCTTCCCCCTCCTCTTGGTGCAAAAACATCAGTGACTATGAATGCTAGGAATGGCAGATTACTGAATGATAAGCCTCTAGGCTTCAGGGAGAGGCAGAGCACTAGGAGGCCCACCTCTGTGACTGACAAGCTGACTATGTGATCTTGGACAAGTCATTTAAATTTTCTTGGTCTTCATCTTCTCCAACTGTAAACTAAGGGTATTGGACAAGATGATCTCTAAAGTCTCCTTTAAGGGCAGCTGGGTAGTACAGTGGATAGAGCACTGGCCCTGAAGTCAGGAGGACCTGAATTCAAATCTGGCCTCAGACCAAACACTTGATACTTACTAGCTGTGAGACCCTGGGCAAGTCATTTAACCTCAATTGCCTAAAAAAAAAAAAAGTCTCCTTTAAATAAGAAGCTACATGTTTTGGGGAAGTCTGGAGGGAAATCTGCTACCTCTTGAAAACCACCTAATAGCCTGATATAATAAGAATCTGAGTGGCATATTTCATAGCGGTTATTCAACTTTACTTCCTCCTCCCCACCCAACCTCTTCCCGGATCAGTCCTGCTTGTTTCTCTGATTTTTCTCTGTTTACACACTTGCTGAAGTTTCTTCCTGTTGAACTGTTTTCAGGCTGAATTAAGAGTAGGAAATCTGCCCTGGAAGACTAGCAAATAAAGCCTAGAAATAAGTGATTGAACATGATTCATATTCAAGAGAAAAGCTCTCTTTAGATTTGCACCACAAGTTATTAAAGGAACTACTGAGATTATTTAGATTGCTGGAATGTGTTTTCTCTTAGTATTTCAACATAATTGCGTGACTGGCCCTATTCAAAAAGCAATAAGCTGGAATGTTTGCAATGAATAGGAGTCTTTCTAAATATATCAATTTCCTTTAATCCCTTACTAAGCAATCAAGTTGGCTTTATTTAGGTATTTTTGTTTTTAAAACTGAACAGAAACAGACATCATGCCACAAAGTAAACGTGATGGTATTTTTATCTACCAGGAAATTGCACAAAACAACCTATCTACATCATCTAATATTTGGTATTTTTCTCTTAAGAAAATCCTTGCTTGTGCACTGGGTCATACTATCCCTGAGGCAGAGTCAGTTTGATTTTCATCCAAATATCCTGGATATGGAAAAAATATCCCAGAATAGTCTTCACTGAGCTTTGGAAGGAAAGACGCTTTTCCCACCAGCATAATGGCAACACTGGCAACAATCTAAATTTGCTTTCCACAAATTTCCAAGCAATTCATTGTACCAATGGAGAAAATACCATACTATCTTTGCTGGTGTTTTTGTAAGTGATACTCTTTATTTTGCTAGTTCAAGTAAAAGGCGTTTTTCTCACTTATTAATAGACATCTTAGTTTAGCCAGTGCTTTTCTCTGAATCCATTCAGAGCCCTGAACCACATTTCTAGGAATCTTGCTTCTTCTCTCTTCGATTTTCTCCCTCTTTTGTTTTTAAAAAAAGTTCTTTTTGCCTTATTTGGATCAGATCTGAGCCACGGGAGGCCTAATTCCAGTTTCTCTCATAAAACCACTGCCTCTACATTCCCTCCCCTACACAGTAAGCTATTAAGAAGGTTCAGAAATGGACAACCATCCCCTACCCCCCACCCTGAAAAAGTGTGTTGAGAATCCTATGACATTTCTAATGAACAGGATGAAGTGGTCCCAGATCTCAAAGTCAGCTAATCATACATTTTGTTCCATATTGCTCAGTTGATTTAAATACTTTTTAAAAGTTCAAGGAATCTATAACACATTACATATTTATGGGAAGTATATACATTCTGTGCCATCAGTTGGATAGGGTCCGAGTTAAGGCAGCACAGCTGTGAAATCACTGGAGGCTCTGTTAAAACTATACAGGAATGTCTATACTGCTTTTGCTACTGATTCTCCCAGCCCTGAACAACTTGTTCCTCTCTTGGCAGGGGTTCACTTCACAGATGATAAAATGGGTGCTTAATGTGTTATTTTCCTAGCATTCACTCCTTCCTCTGCCACACTGTATGGTGAATGGGGAGGAGGATTCTACCCTTCAAAAGTAGTGGTCCCTGGTCTCCCAGGTCACCATGAGCAGCTAAACAGTAAGAGAGAGCCCTCCAGGTCTAGATCAAGGGTTCTCAACATTTTTTGTGGCATGGACCCTTTTGGCAGTCAAGTGAATCCTATGGATTCCCTTCTCAGAATAGTGGGTTTTTTTTATATCTGTAAAGTAAAGTACATAAGATTAAAAAGGAAATGAATTATATTAAAATATAGTTATCAAAATATTCAGGTTAAGAACCCCTGTCTCTAGGTGAACTCAGGCCCCTAACCTTGCTGACCCCTTCCCCTTCCATATGTCTCTCCTCAAAAAAAAAGTTTTGTTCCTCCCACTCCTGCTTCCTAAAATGGTACTCCTAGACCTGAACACAGTATTCCATAAATTGCCTAGCCAAAATAGTCCAGGGAGATTAACACCCCCTTATTTTCTCATAGAGACACTGTATCTCTCTCTCTCTCTTTTTTTTTTTTTTTTGGTGAGGCAATGGAGGTCAAGTGACTTGCCCAGGATCACACAGCTAGTAAGTGTTAAGTGTCTGAGGGTGGATTTGAACTCAGGTCATCCTAACTCCAAGGCCAGAGCTCTATTTACTGAGCCACCTAGCTGCCCCTGTATCTCTTTTTAAACAGCCCAAAGTTGACATACCATACTTCTAAACTTAATACATAGATCTAACTGTATCACAAAAATTTGCAGCGCTTTTCTGTTGCCAATAGGATAAACTACCACAATCTTAGCCTGGCAATCTGGTTCTGACCTACTTTTCCAGATTTATTTCACAGTATTCCTCATTACTCACTCAAAACACTAAACAAAGAGATTCTCTGATCTCCTGCTGACCTATCTGCCTTCATGCCTGATGTACTCTACACTTCTGCTTACTGAAACTCTCTTTCTGCACAGGTCAATTGAAGGGCCACTTCTTTCTAGAAGCCTTCCCTGATTCTTCCAGCTAACAGTGAACTCTTCTTCCTCAAATATCTTGGAGGATTTTGTCTGGCTCTCTTTGCCCTTATCAGAATTTATCATGTATCACATTTACCCCAATATGTCTTATCTGCTCTATTATACTGTAAGCCCCAATGACGGAAAAGATCGTGCTGTTTTTTCAGTTTAGGATGCCCAGCACCACACACAGTAGGCATTTAATAAATGTTCGTCGAATTGTGGAGGACTTTCTAGGTTGCACAGTGGATGGCATGCTGGGCCTGGAATCAAGAAGATTCATCTTTCTGAGTTCAAAACCAGCCTTAGACATTTACTAGCTGTGTGACCCTGGGCAGGTCACTTAATCCTGTTTGCCTCAGTTTCCTCATCTGTAAAATGAGCTGGAGAAGGAAATGGTAAACCATTCCAGAATCTTTGCCAAGAAAACCCTAGCATGAGGTCACACGACTACAAAATGACTCAACAACAATCATGCAGGGATCGATGTCATGATGGGGATGAGCAGCGGCAGCGGCAGATCTAGAATCTAGTTCTGTTAGTTGTGTTCATTTCTTGCAGTGAAATATACCTGATCCCACAGGAAGGCATGCTAACCTCCTCTGTGTCATAGACCCCTTTGGCAGGCTGGCAAAACCTCTGGACCCCCTCTCAGAATAATGGTTTTAAATTCATAAAATAAAATACATGGGATTACAAAAGAAACCAATTATATTGAAATAAAGTCATCAAATATACCCACATATGTACAGTTCATGAACACCAGATTAAGAACCCTTGACAGGGGGTATGATTCACCTTACCTGGCCAAAGTGTTTACAAAGTTGTATTTTACATGGTGATTATAATAACCATTGCCAAATAACTCTAAAACTTGTGTTTAGTGTCCTACAAAGCACATAAAATAAGTGGTTCATAATTTCCAAGGGAGAAATTCAACGCATTTGATCTTGTCTACATTGATTAGTACACATCAACTCCTCTTACAGAGAGGTCACTTAAACTTCTGAGCCTCAAAACTCTATACAGATTTTTTTTTTTGTCTAGGCCTATAATTTCAGTGGTGTAGGGAAATTCTGTCATGTAATTTCCTTTTATCCAATGAATGTTTTCTGTGACATCCTCTAGAGAGTGCCTGGGGCATGGGAAGGGTAAGTGATTTATCCAAGGCCACATAGATGGTGTACGTCCAATACTGGCCTCATCCCCATATCTTCTTGACTTCAGGGTCTTATTGAATCCATGACTGTGTCTCTATTAAGTTATAAGTGGGTTAAAATGTGCATTGGTAGAAATTAAGCCACACCCCAATGAAATAATAAATTTCTGAGTTTTACACAAAGAAGTGTAACGTTTGGTCCCTGTCCTCTGGTCATTTACAGTTTTACATATATATCCAAAAGGCATCCTCCTCCCAAACTTTCCATACACAATCCTATACAAATAAGAAACGAGGAGTTGCAAATTCTTTTTCGTTTTCTTGAGGCTGGTTTTCTTTATGCTCTAAATTATTGAATTAATATTCTACAGCTCTGGCCCTGCCCCAGCCTTGAGCATTACCACCAAAAAAACGGAAAAACCTTTTTTCTACTTCACTTGAGAATTAGTCCACAGCGCCAAAGTTTAAAAAAAAAAAAGATAAGAGGTTCCCTAAACTGCACACTTCCCCCAGACCCAACGCTGGCTCTCGACTGGGTATCCGGGAAGGCAGAGTTTCTGCGCTCACCTGTAGGCCCATGGGGAGACGCTGTGCAGGTTGATGGGCAGTCGGTATTTCTTGTCCTGGACCAGCCTGCCCCCTGCCGGGCAGCTCACGTTGCGCTCCTTGTCCAGCGGTTCCAACTGCAGGGTGTGGTGGAAGGCGCTGAGCATGCCTGCAGCCAGCCGCCCGTACAACTGTTCTAAAAGCTCCTCGGGACGGTCGGCACAGGTTCGAGTCCGCACCGGGCGCTTGTTTACGCGCAGAGCGTCCGAGCTGAGGCTCAGCAGCATCGACAGCACGAAAACGGCCACCAGCATCTGGACCTGCAGCTCAGCGAGAGACCGGCGCAGTGTGAGGGAAGCAGATGTGTGAGCCTCTGCACAAATTCGTCCCTGATTTGCATGACCTCCCCATCCCGCGGCCGCTGCCCCGGTCCTGCTGTTGTCCGGGGATTGTCTAGGATGGAAACTCGCGGGGGACGCGGGGAGGAAGGGGAGAAAAGGAGGATGAAAGTGTGTCTGAAAGAGAGGAGGGGGAAGAGCGCGTTGGAGAGCAAAAACCCGAAATTCCCTCTTCATTCCTCTCTACCGCGAATCGAGGCAGCGGAGAAAGTGTACTTGCCTCGGTTTTCCGGAATCAGCGTAGTAGTCCTTCCCCTCACCCCTATTCATTACTTTCCTCCACACGCCCTTTTTCGCGTGCTTCATTTGGTTGGGCTGTGCGTAAGGGGACCGTGGCAAAGCTCCCAAGCCCACTTCAAGCTTTGCTGGGGTCGGAGGAGGAGGAGGAGGAGAAGTAGAAGGTTCCCCCCCCAAAAAATAGACACACACACCGCCCCCATTAGTCCGCTTACCTTCCCTCGGGACATGGTGCTGGGATGCTGAGCGCTGGATGCCGTGAGCGGGATGACGAGCGCGGGATGCGGGCGGAGACGGGTGAAGGCAGCGGCGGACGGGGAGCGAACTTCGTGCCCTGAACTCCGCTCCCTCAGGGGAGAAACTGGAGAAAAAGTTGGAGGAGTGCCCCAGCGCTCACTGCCTCTCTTCTGGCCGCCGATGCCAGGAACATTTCGGACACACACACACACACACCACTTAATTTTTCAGTCATTAGCTTGCTTGTTGAGGCTCCGAACTAACCCCGCGCGACGCCCCCTCCCACTTGCAGGGCGGGACATGAGGACCGCAGCAGGAGCAGCCTGCCAGCCTGGAGTTCTGAGTAATGGGTGTGTTTGTGTTTGTGGATGGGGGAGGGGGTGAGGAGGTGACTGTTGTGTGGGCGTCCTACCCAGTAATCACCAAAGTAAGAGGTCCCAAGAAGGGGGTCCTCTGAGAGGGAGGAAGTTCCAAAGTGGGAAAGATGCACTTCCCCATCCTTGCCCATCACCACCATCAGTGCTTAGTTCCTTGAGAGCAGCCTTTAATTTTTTTTAAACTATTCCCCACCCCCAACGGCCTTCAAGTGCCTAGCACAGTGCCTGGTGGGTAGTAGTAGCTTAACGATGGCTTGCGTTATGAAGTTGATCTAATTTAACTGGAGGTTCCTGAGCTGGGTGACTAACCCGGGAACCAGAAGCACCTGACAGAAAGCTCCAGTTCAGCTATTTCAGACAGGGGAAGTTTGAACCAGAAAGATGCCTGGAGTCTCAGGTTTTCCTTCCGGCCCTAGTTATATGTTATATTGAATTGAACTTTACAGCTTCTAATGGCGTCTGGGTGGCAGCTGTTTACCTGGCATTCTTCTGTCCCTCTGTGCATCCTGGAGAGAGCTCACACACATAATTTCATGCACTTTGGGGTCTGGACTTGGAGCAGCATCGAGGAGCTTGTTGAAATATGGTTAGCTGGGATTGTCACTTTCCCAAATTCCAGGGCAGATTTCTAGGGCTCTTCTGTCTAGTTTTGCTCACCACCAGCCTTGCATTTGTACATTGCCTCTCAGACAGCTTCTCAAAATGATAGGATCATAGATTTTGAACTGGAAGAGACTTTTAGAGGCCATTTTGCTCAACCCCTTCATTTTATACAAGGAAACAAACCTGAGCTTCAGGGACAGGGTTCCAATCCAAGTCCTCTGATTCCAAAGATAATTTTTTCACATGGCTGTTGATAGCTTGGATTTCTTCCGCTAAAATCTGCCTGTTCATATCCTTTGACCATTTTATCTGTTGAGGAATGGCTCTTATTTTTAATTAATTTGAATCAGTTCTTTATATATCTTGGAAATGGAATCTTTATCAGGGAACCTTGCTGCAAAGATTTTTTTCCCTATGTTTCTTATCTAATTTTAGCTCCATTGATTTTGTTTGTGCAAAATCTTTTAAATTTTATTTAAAAACAATTTTTCATCTTATCTTCTGGGATCCTCTCTATATCTTGTTTGGTCTTGAAAAACATGCTTGTGCTGCCTGTATCTTAACTAGGTGTTGTGAAGAAAGAGCTTTAGGAATAAGGTGAATTACTATCTCATAAGATAACATAAAAATTATTTTATGAAAACAATTTATTTTATGAAAATCTAAAGTTATAAGGAACTTGGTTTGAGTTTGGTACATGCAGTTCAAAATGTCCAATAGGCATTTGGTGACCTATGAGTAAGAGCTCAGTAGAGAGCCTAGGAGACTGTTTTTTGCCTTTCTTTGTGTCCTCAGTGCTTAGCATAGTGCCTGACAGATAGTAGGCACTTAATAAATGTTTATTGACCAACTATAGCTTGCTTTTCATTCAGACATTTAAATAGAGCTGATTATATTGGAGCATGTGTTTTGGCATGAGCCAGGAAGAATGCTCCTCTCAGTAAACCTTAAAGGGTGCAATTCTGCCTTTTGGCACTTTCTCTTTTGGGCTATTGAATTTGTAGGCACTCTGAGCCAGTCTATTGGACTTCAAGTGAGCTCAGAGCAGTGTATCTCCTTAGTGGGAGAGGACACCTATCCCAATGCCCCCTGGACCAGTGCTGGACTGGTATTATACTTTTTTCATTTAACAAGTATTTGGTGAATGCCAGCTAAAGGCTCAGTACTTGGGCTGTAGGGTGGGGGAAATGTTAGTGAGTATAATTTTTAACACAAAATAATAAAGTAAAATAAAGATTCCTGTTAAGGGGCAGCTACTGAAAGAAATTTCACTGCCAGAAAGTGTAAGAAAGCATCATTTCCCACCCCGTCCCCTCCCTCAAGCTATGGTAGATGCTTGCACATGGCAAGCAGCCCATGTCCTGCCTAGGTAAACCTGGGCCTGGAACTTAGCCCCTGGCTGCCTCTTCTACTTGTCTCCTACTGAGCGTAGGAGACTGAACATTGATCATGAGAGAAAATGACTACCACCAGGAGGATGAGTTCAAGCCATACCAGAGCACACAGATCTTGATGGAGTTATTCAGAAAGTGCAGAGCCTAGGTGAAAATAGAAATGTCTGTTTAACACCACAAGATGTTTTCTTTTTGATGTTTTAAGTATCAGTCCCCAGAGAGAGTATTAATAGGAGTTATTGGTTGCTGTTTCATGTTTTCATTCTTTGTCAATGTTCACTCCTGAATCCTTTGTTGTTGTTTTTTTAAACATTTCTTCTCTAGTGAGAGAAATAATAGTCTTAGGCTAGATTTGTTTTGTATGTTGACTTCCTAGAAGAGCTCTTACTAATCTCTTTTGGGGAGACCCTAGGCAGTGAGGACATAAAAAAGTCAATGATAACGAGAAAGAGCCTGAATCCTTTCTTTAAAGGTCTGACTCTCCAGAGCTAAGCCCTCCAAGTGATCCCAGAGTTGAGTAGCTGCTTAATGGAAGAGGATACCCCTAAACCCTTACCTACTGTTTTCTGGGCAAGTGGTGGACCAATGTTACACTTGCATTCATTCAGTGAGCACTTGTTGAATGCCAAGTGGGCCATTGGCAGCAAAATGTTAAACTTATGAGTGTAATAGTTAATATAAAATATTGAAATAAAGACTTTTAGGAAAGAAAAATATGGGGCAGCTACTGAAAGAAACTTCATTACCTGAAAGCATTAGAAAACATAATTTGTGGTCCCCCAATGGGTTTGCTTTTTGGGGATCTGACTAAAGTGCAAACTCTTAGTTAAACTAAACTGCAAAAAGAATTATGGAACCAGAATGAATGATAGGTTTTTTAGGAATCTTTTTACGAGCTACCAAAAATCTCACTAAAAGCTCACATTTAATTGAGACATAGCTGATAATATCACTTACTATTTACTATTGAAAGTTAACTCAGAGCAGGGAGCTCTCATGGCATTAATTCATGAAGGAGTAGCTTGGGAAATCCTGGAAGATGTTCTTCCTGACAAGGATGGAGGTTGCTTTACAAAACTCTAATTTTCCCTGCTGAGTAGAGTCTTTATCCTTCAGAAAAATAACATTGAAAACCTCATTCTTTGCCGATTTCTAAACTACTAAAGATCAGAATGTAACAGTTTCATTTAGTGAATACACCTTTTCTTCAAGGCTTCTAAATCTGGAATTCTCCTCTGACCACAATCTCCTCTCTCATCTACTTTCCCATCCTTTTGCTCTTACAGAACCAACTTTTTACCTCCATGCTGACTTTTTTTTTACCAAGCATGTATTAAACCCCTACTTTGTGCCAGACACTGCTTAGCAACTCATAGGATTTATTTTATAATTAAATATTATTTTTTCAGTTGGCAAAAATTCTTTCTCTTCTCTCCCCCTTTCATAATTTAGAACAAAAGGGAAAAAAAAGCTTATTATAAACATATAGTTAGGAAAAACAAAATTTCAAATTGGCACTGTCCAAATGAAAATCTGTATCTCAATCTGTGGTCTGATTCTATCACTTCTCTGTCATGCTTGGTCATTACACAAGGATTCCGAGAATTCCATAGTTGTCTTTACAATATTGTTGTGATTACATAAATTGCTCATGCTCTCCTGGTTCTGTTCACTTTGCAGCAGTTCATACAAGTCTTCCCAGGTTTCTCTGAAGCCATCACTGTCATTGTTTCTCATAGCATAATAGCATTCCATTAAATTCATGTACTAAACTTGTTTATCCCTTCCCCAGTTGATGGGCAACCCCTCAGATTCCCATTCTTTGTCACTAGAAAAAAAAAAACTATAAATATTTTTGCACATCCTTAGAGTTTTGCTTAGGACTAATCCCTCGATTAACATATCTTCATTTAATTCCCCCTTCTCCCTTCTCTCCTTTTCCTCCTATTTCCCTGTTGAGTGAAATTTATTCTTGTGCCCATTTGTGTGTGTATATATGTGTATGTGTGTATTCTTCCCTTTTTTAACCAGTTCAGATGAGAATGAAGTCCAAGTGTCAGCCACCCTTCCTTTCCTTCTTATGTGTATAGATTTCTACTTATGCCCTCAATTATTTGAGATAATTTTTTTTAACCTTTTCCCTTCTGCTTCTAGTGCATTCCTCTTTCCCTCTCTTTCCACTTTTCTTTTAAGATCAAGACATTACATAATCATTCCCAGGTCTTCTGCCTAATTAGACTCCTATTATGCCTGATGATAAGGTTCAGAGGGGACAAATGTTATCATATCTTCATATTTGAGTTTATCCTTGTTTGGTCCTTTATGATTGTTTGTTCATGTTTACCTTTAGCTGTTTATCTTATCTCCCATGTTTGAATTTCAAAATTTCTAAGCAGCTCTGCTCTTTTATCAGGAATGATTAGGAGACCCCTATTTCATTAAAGGTCAATTTTTCTCCCTGTAGGATTATACTCAGGTTTTCTGGGTAAGTTATTATTGGCTATAAACCTATATCTTTTGCCTTCTGGAATATCATATTCCAAGTTCTCAGCTCCTTTATTGTGGTAACTACTATATTGTGTGTGATCCTGACTTGAATTCTTTCTCTCTGGTAACTTGCAGCATTTTTTTCATTGACCTTGAAACTTGAGATCTGGGCTATGTTTTAGGGAGTGTTCA